GCAAAATGAACTGGGTCAGAGATCACAGATTCTACCTGACCTAAAAAGCCTCGCCGTCCTCGCCGTCCATCTAAAAAACTCTATAAGCTTGAAAACTCCGATAAATCAATTCATCAACTTACAGTGTCAATTGCGCTTGTTCCTGTTGTATGTCCTCAATCTGACAACCCACTGGAGCGTCACGTCTGAGGAGGGAGGAGCGGGAGAAACAACTCTCTTCAATATTTTGAATTTCAACTGCTAGCTCATTAAAACAGATTATTGAAGTACGTTTTATAAGAATATACTATTTCAGTCTTTCTACTTCAAAATATAATGTTTAATTCAATGTGTTACTTACTTGCCATTTCTTTGTACTATACTTATTTGTAAAATGTACTACAATTTCAGAGTGAAAATTGTTTCAAAATAAATCTTACACCAAATTTTTCAGTGTAAAATTCAGAAACAACCTGCTGTTTTTCATTCTTTTGTGAAGTGACTATTACATTGCATCATTGGTTGCAGCTGCAGGTGTAAATGATTATGAGAAATGCTCAGAAAATAATAATAACTGGAAACATGTTATAAAATTGCATGCTTGACTGAAATGTAAGCCATTAATCACATAGAAATGCACTAACGACCACTCAGAATGCAGTAACACCCTGGCAACCACCTAGCAACCACCCAGAACACTCAAGCAACTGCATAGCAATGTACTGACAACCACAGTAAGTGAGTTTTGCATTAGCAGGCACCATTCATCTTTCCTTCAGAAAATGTACAAATCTAGTTTCTCATTCATGTTTCATGCTGGGATGATATATGCCACTCTGCCGTGCTTTGCTCCTTCCTTTCAGTTGCTTGGCTGTCAGTAATGCGTGTTCATTTCTATCCAGGGAATGATTAGGTACTAAAAATGGCATGCTAGCATAAAGACTATATTGTGTGGTAGTATAGTTCTTTCCTTTCTCTCCATGCATGGTAAAGAATCTCCACCTATCTCCATTATATAGCTGAACAATCAATGTGTGCTATTGTCCAAGACTATTATGTTCACTCTCCAACATGAGAGGCATACAGTGTCTTGTGAGGCAGTTCATTTCTTGAATACATATTTAACAGGCCTGTATTTCAACCAAGAGAAAAAAAAAGACTGAAGTGAAAAGGTTCTGAGGTTTAGATCACCAGTATCTTCTACAATACAGTTTTTACGTTTACTAAGGAAAATGCAAGTGACTGTGCAAAAGCCACTGCTGCGATGTTAGGGTGTTGTGAGTGAAAACATCACAATAATCCACACAACTCCAGTCCATCAATTAACTTCTTGTGATGTAAAAAACTGTTTGTAAGAAACAAATCCATCATTAAAGGAACACTCCACTATTTTGGAAAATAGGCTCATTTTCCAACTCCCCTAGAGTTAAACAGTTGAGTTTTACCGTTTTCGAATCTATTCAGCCAAGACCGATGGGAAATGAAAAGTTGCGATTTTCTAGGCCGATATGGCTAGGAACTATACTCTCATTCCGGCGTAATAATCAAGGAACTTTGCTGCCGTACCATGGGTAAAAGTGCTACCGCCAGACCCGGAGATCGGCTGAATGGATTCGAAAACGGTAAAACTCAACTGTTTAACTCTAGGGGAGTTGGAAAATGAGCCAATTTTCAAAAATAGTGGAGTGTTCCTTTAAGACATTCTAGCTTTAAACCATCACTTCTGGCCAAAATATGAGTCAATGATCCATAATAAAGCTTCCTCCAGTGAAAAAGTCCATCCCTTGTTGTCTCTCTAATGAAAATCCGTGCACTGACATATTTGTTCAGAACTGTTTTGGCTTGTAAACAGTTCTTGATCTATGCATATTTCTCTCCTAATTCAGACGAGATGACTTTTTCACTGGAGAAAGCATTATTGGATATAGGACTCATATTTTAAAAGTAAGCAACGGTTTGAAGTTAAAAATGATGGATTTGTTTTTTACCTGCAGTTTATTTGTTTATTTTTATTTGCTTCTCAGGACGTTAATTGATGGACTGGAGTGGTGTGGATTATTGTGATGTTTTTCTCAGCTGTTTGGACTCTCAGTATTTTGTGCGGGTTTTCCGAGAATGCAGTTGTGAGTCCTGAAAATGTATGGGTGTGAGTTCGGTTACAGAATGCGGTTGTCACGCCTGAAAATAAACGTACTGTGTGTGAACGTAACCGTATTAAGGACTCAAATACAGGACTGACAACCGTATTCTGCTGCTGTGTGAAAGTGGCCTATTAGATTTAACTTAAATTTAGACTTAAACTTAAAGAAAAAAAGCGAAAACTAGAAATGTTGCAGAAGTAGCCTACTAAAATGACTAAAACTAAAATAATAAGAAATTAAAGCTATAAATATTAAAACATAAAATTACAAAATCACATAACAAAATTACTAAAAATTAAATTGGAAACTTAAAATATAAAAATAAAAACTATTAAAATGTTAATAAATTGTATAATAGTATGACTAATACTAAAATAACACTGTTGTCTCTAACCCTAAAGTATAAATAGAAATAATAATGATGCTTGCCTCAGTCATATAGCTTTTGTTCAGAGCTTTCATTAACAAGAACAACAACACATACAGCGGTGTCCTGTATGTCTTTGATTTATGAATAGGTGACAAAGTCAACATCAATACATGCTTCTATTGCTTAACAAATTAATCTGCTTGAACATGCCTTAAGCAGGTCTGTACAGATTTCCCTGGAGACTCGCAGCTATAGATTTTATTCTCAAGTCCCTTTAGGGAACATAGACTCGTCACTGTATGGCAGCCTCTTTTGTGCTTTTTTTTTTATGTTTATTTCAGACATTTCTATCAGGCACTCAAAATAACATTTTTTTCTCACTTGTATCATTTATATCTACATGTATCTATTATTGACATTAGGCTTCATAATGTATTTAGCTTCTTTTATTTGAAAGATAAGCTTAGATTATTAATGAGCGTTCATAATAATAATGACCATGTTCAGTCATCTGGGTTGCTGTCCCAAAATAACCCAGCCTAATTTTGGGTATGAGTCATATATGATATAGCACCTCTAAAAAGATTTGAATTGGTTTATGAAACAATCTTACTCATTGCGGTATCTGTTTAATTGAACAATAAGTATTCTTTTTCAAATTCTTCGTACACCAAATTTGGTTGCTCTACTTTGTTGTACAAGTGGATGATTGAGTAGAATGTGGTAATTTCTCACATGCATGAATTAAATTACAAAAAGGACATTATTCACACCAGCAAGCAAGGTGTGCTTGAGTGCATCGGATTTACCTCTGTGTGACCTGGCTTTTAAAGTTTAAAGGTCATGCTGATAATTTCAATTCTAAATTAATCAAGTGGATGCTTAATTGATAGAACCATTGATATTCTTGCTGCAGATAATCAGAAAATATGCTATGCTTTTAATTCCAGGTCTTGCATCAAGTCATGTGCTTTAAAATGAAAGAGCATGAAGACTCTGACACTGAAAAGCTTTCTATGTGAGGAGGTGGGCATGCAAAAATATAAAAAAATAAATAAAAAAAATGTAAAAATCAGTTCAATGCAAAATTCCAGCTATGTTTGTGGCACAATGCATGCAGAAACATCACCATCAAAAGGTCTATGCATGCTTATTTTGATTGCCTTAAACATTCTCTGTCTGACATCTTTTTCTTTTAAAGCTTTAGTATTAAAGGAGCATAATACCTGGGAACCTACAAACTGAGGGAAAACATCTTCAACACTTGATTGTAATGCATGATGCCTACATGAGTAAACCTGCCTTATGAATGCAAAGTTGCAATGCTATGCATTTTTGTTTAACAAATGAAAACCTGGTTAGGTTATGGTTGTGACTTGACGTCATACCATTTATAAAAATGGCCTAGATACTAACAAATGTCATTTGCCTTTAAGCAATACTAACTGCAATGAGATTGCACCTGAATGGAGCAACTTCTGCAACAAATTACTGTTGGTGTAGACTGTAATCTTAGTAATGCTCCCGTTTTGGTTAAAACGGCAGGCTTTATTATGTCTGTGTCATACAAGCCAATGTAAAATGAAACATTTTATTTAAACTAAAGCAATTACCAGACTGACCTCTTTGAGTCACTGTAGAGATCTACACTGCACCCTACTGGTGACTTCTGTGTATTACAAGCGCTGAGTTTCAGCGTTATAAAACCCCGTTTAAATGGGTTGTCTTGTATTTTTGGCCTATTTAAAAAAATAAAAAGATTTATGGTTCATTCATATGTGTTATCATTGTACATTAACAAATGCATAAGGCTAAATCTTACTTAACAAATAATTCAAGATAATTTGTTGATGTTTGAAGATAGCCTACGCAAGTGTTTTCATGGGCAGATATAGGCTAGTAAAAAAAGAAAAAGTTATGACATAAAATTAGGAAAACCAGATATTTAACATTCTGCGCTATTTCTATAGGTCACTAATCAAATAAGCAGGTTTGTCACATTAACCATGCATCTTTTAGTACAAACAAATTCATTTATTTATTGTTATTATTAATTCTTTTACACAATTTTCACTTCTTTTTATTTTAATGATTAATTTAAAACAGTTTTTGTAGCTGCATTTTTAGTGTGAAAAAAGTGATAGCTACAACACAAATAAAAATTACTAATATTAATATGAACAAAAACAGAAATGAGAGATGCTTGTAATGGTCATTACAAATATTGTACGTGCTTCAGAATGCGGGTGCATCGGAGAAAGGATAGATCATATGCGTGAGTAGACAGTCTGAGATCGAGTAAACATCATCTTCTGTTGTTGCCATTATTATTAATCTCACAAGCTTCCGTTTCGAATTCAGCAAGCGGTCGAGCGCCTCCTGGCAACGGTTGCTATGGTGACTAACTACGTCACGCACGACTTTGGTTACCATGGTCCTTGTGACGTAAGGGACCGTGTAAAACAGTGTAGGAAACCCCGGATAGCGGTTACCATGGATACTGGCGGGGGGGAGGGGTGGAGTTTAGAGGAAGCGGAAGTGTCAGCGCAAGCGGAAGTGGTACTGCCCTGAATACCCCGAGCAGCGAAACGGAGGACAGCTTGATACTCCCATCGTTAACAGACACAAATCAGGACTCGAAATATATTTCAATGTGAGTTACGTTGCCCGTTAAGGCCGCTCGTTTGATATTATGAATGTTACAGGTGCATTTTGCTGTATTGTTGCTCATGTAAGCCCCCCTCATCATTGTCAATGGCGGAAGGTGTCTATTGTGGTTTGGGGCTGGGTACAAGGACTTAGGCCGAGGCGGGCGATGAATAACGATTATTGCCGAGTTATTTCCGATTACGTCCGATTTCTATTAGAAGCGCGAGGTTCCCGCACATTCATTATGTAAGAGCGCTATCAAAGTATCGTCGTGCGGAACAACCCTCATCCGAACGGGAGCAATGGCCAGCGGCTCCCGCGTCTGTTCAACACCCGGTCGTCGTGAAAGCTAACCTGCTAACAAGGTAATGGTATAATACACCAGAGGAGTAAAGCGCGTTCTTATGAAAGGCAGTTAGTAACGGTTACATTTCATTTGGCGCGAATAATCGGCGCGTCCGATTAAATTCCACACGGGAATGCGAGTGAGAGGGCGTTGCATTGGTGGCTAACGCTGTTAGCTCGAGCGAAGAGCCTGAATATGCTGCAGTGCAGTATTAGTGAGGTTAGGCGCTTAAAACGGCTCACGTTTATAGTTTCACTATTTCTAAATGCGTTCAAGTTAATGTATTGAAATGATTTAGTGGGTTGGATCGTTTAAATCGCAAAACAATCGCCTCAAAGGATGGCGGACTTGTCGACAGGACGCGTCGTGAGGGCCTATGTAAATAAATCTAGTTCGACACCAGCCCTTATGTCATCTACTAACCGTTCAAACTACGCATTTTAACTAGTACTCCAGCCCTCCTCGGTCTCATTAGGCAACCGATTAGCAAGCTCACACGTGTGTGTTCGTCTCTAGGAGCTGGACGGGCCGTGTTTTCTCGCCTGACACAGTTACCTGTGGTTCGGGTTCAGGCGGAGACATCAACGCCCTGGGCGTTGGCACTTACACACGTATTGATAGCTGACAGAGTTGAAATTCCCACCGTGGCCTGCTGGAATCCCGATTCCATGTCGGATTCCATGACCTTGCACAAAGGTAGACGGACAATTGGATAAATGTAATATTAAGCAGCAGCCAGAAACCTGGGGTTATATGTGATTTAGAACAGGTGATCTAACTTAGTGGGTTTGGTTTAGACTTTGACCAGTTATAATACGCAGAGGTGGATAAGCCATTGTGTGTTTTAGAAATAATGATTTTGACCTACTTTTTAATTGGGTTATATATTTCAGAAATCCTGAAACCACTGCATCAGTGCAGTATGAGCTACAAATATGACCTGATTATTTGTCAATTTGGTGCAAAGAACAATTGTCAATGTAAAATCAAAGTAAAACAAATGTTATGGTGGTCATATATTTATTGACCTAAAACTAGTCTTTTAGGTTAACCACAGCTTACACCATTACCTATGGGTAAACCTGGGTTATAATAATACATAAAATGCATGGTAGTCTTATTTATAAAAAAAAAAAAAACGCATTATATGGCAAAATAAAACTATTTCTCTATTAAAAGTGTTTATAAGTTTCTCAGAAACGGTTACTGTCAAGGTAAAACAAACATTATGGAGTGCATATATTTCTTATTCTACCAAAAAAGAAAAGAAGTATTTGAGGTTAAGCACTACTAATACCATTATCTATAGATAAACCTGATTCATTATGCAGAAATGCTTGGTAATATTTTATAAAGCATTATATGGCAAAATAAACCCCCTAAACTTAATTTCTGATTAAAGTGTTGGTAACACTTTATAATAACTTTCATTAATAAATCATTAACAAACATTAAATAATGCTTGATGGATAATTAGTTAATATATATTCAAAGAGTTAGAAACGTGAGATAATGTGCTTGTTAATATTTGCTAATAAACTTATTAAACATTAGATAATGTTCAAACAATTCATTATTTAATGCAAGTTAAAATGCTTACAAATGACGTTAAACTTTCAATTCCATATGATCAAGCACTTATTGAAAATCTGCAAATGATTTGAACAGATGTTATAAAATGATTAAAAGCTTGTGTTAATGCACAACACTTTTGCTGCTGTTGAGGTGTGATACGGGTAAGGTTAGGGACAGGTCTGGTGGCATGGGTAGGTTTAAGGGTTGGTTAAAGGGTCAACAGTGTACAGGGGTCAGTTTGATAAGGAAACACGGTTCAATCGGTTTATATTATGTTGTTTTGATAAATGAACAAGTATTTTCTTTTAAAAAATGATTTGTTTTCTCCTGTTTATTTATGATTCAAGGAATATCCTGTTTAATGATATACTGAAGAGTAGTATACTAATGTGAGTGTTGAGGCAATAAAAACATTTTTTTGCGCCAAAATTACAATCTGTGATGTCTTTAGCAAGCATTTAGCTAAATTTAACCAGCCACCCTTTACACAAACCTTGTTCCATTAGCTAAAAGTCCAATGCCCATAAAGATATTAAAAGATTAGTAATAGTTCATAAACATTTACAAATGATGAATAGTTTCAACTTTAGATTGGCTACTGCAAAAACATGAACAAATGATTAAGTGATTATTAAAGATGTGTGAATAGGGTAACTTCAGGTCTTTCGGGATACTTTTTGCCATTGAGATGACTGTTCATAAAGGTATTAATGATTAGTAAACTTGTATAAACATTTGCAAATTATGAATAGTTTCCACTTTAGTTTGGGTACTGCAAAAATATGAACAAGTAATTAAATTATTTGTTAAGATGTGTAAATAGAGGTCTACACAACAAAGACCAACAAATGAAGATCATATGAACTGAAAGTTTACTGACATTTGTAAGCATTTCAATTTACATTAAATAATCATATGTTAATCATTAGGTAATGTTTAGTAAGTTCATTAGTAAACATTAACAAGAACATTATCTCATATTTCTAGCTATGTGAATATATATTAACTAATGCTGTTAAGCATTATATAACGTTTGTTAATGATTTATAAATGAAAGTTATTATAAAGTGTTTCCAAAATGTTTATATAATTTTCAACATTTTTAAAAACGTTTTACCAAAGTTCAAGTTTGGTGAATTTTAGTCAGCAAAATGATGATTGATCAGTAGAGAATCTTAATTTAAATTAGTTCAAAGAGGAAAAAATGGTAACACTTTACAATAAGGTTCATTATTTAACTACTTTAGATAACATGAACTAAGAATGAACAATACTTCTACAGCATTTATTAATCTTAGTTCATGTTAATTTCAACATTTACTAATGCGTTATTAAAATCAAAAGTTGTGCTTGTTAACATTAGTTAATGCACTGTGAATTAACATGAACTAACATTGAACAACTGTATTTTCACTAACTAACATTAACAAAGATTAATAAATACTGTAATAAATGTATTGTTCATGTTAGTTAATACATTAACTAATGGAACCTTATTGTAAAGTGTTACCGAAAAAGTTATAGAAAAGAAAAACACAAACGTGGCCTTATTTTGCATTGTGGGATCTGAAGTAATTTTACTTGAAGACTAGTGTGAATGCCGTTTTAGTGTGCAAACCTGCCTGTTTTCAAAACCGACTAGTCTACTAATCAGTCTTAAGGAAGCTCTGTTTAACTAGGCTGGTTTCAGGTAATCCTCTTGTATTTTCATACCATCAATTAGTGCTATAACCTCAAATGGGATTTTACTGATGTTTTTCACTCTGATTCAGTGATGAATGCTTTGAGATAAAGTCTCTGAGATAGTCGCTGAATGACTGCAACTTCATAGCTGGGCCTTAGCATTGGTCCTCTTACATAATCGTTCACTGGTAGCCTTCAGTATGACTTAAATCTCCATAAGTCCCAAATTTAATAATAGTATCTGGTGCAGGTCAAAATTGTCACCAACTTGAAAATTGACCTCTTTACAACAAAAGGAGGTCAGCCAAGCTCACTAAGCGACACCAAACTTGACTTAATTTTATTATATTCATACAGACTATAGGAAAAGGAAAATTAACTCTCCAACGTGCATTTTGTTATCTAACTATACATTTTCTCCTACTTTTGTAGTTGCATCATGGACAAGAGTGACCTAGTGCAAAAGGCAAAGCTCGCTGAGCAGGCCGAGCGCTATGATGACATGGCTGCTTCCATGAAGGCCGTCACGGAGGGCGGCGTTGAGCTTTCCAACGAAGAGCGCAACCTGCTCTCCGTGGCTTACAAGAACGTGGTGGGCGCCCGCCGCTCGTCCTGGCGCGTGATCTCCAGCATCGAGCAGAAAACAGAGGGCAATGAGAAGAAACAGCAGATGGCACGTGAATACCGTGAGAAGATCGAGGCCGAGCTTCAGGAGATCTGCAACGACGTGCTGGTGAGAGACGTGACATGTGAACAAAACATTTGAGAGTTCTAGAAGTTCCACCTGATTTAATTTGCAATTAATTTTACGTTTAAGTAGGCAGCAAGGCAGGTCACTTTACAGTTAGAGCAAAAGGAATCAATTTTATTTGTAACATTAAACTGCTCATATGAAAATTGCAATTAGGATGGATCAAAAATGCACACTTTACCTTTAAGAAAGTTGCTTTTTCCTCTTTCTGATGGTCAGTGCTGTTCATTTATTTGTAATATTAATGGTCATAGCTTAATGTCAGTCTTACCTCTGTTCTATCAGGGTCTCCTGGAGAAGTACCTCATTCCCAACGCTAGCCAGGCAGAGAGCAAAGTCTTCTACCTGAAAATGAAAGGAGACTACTACAGATACCTGTCCGAGGTGGCATCTGGAGAAGCAAAGAAAAGTGAGCTCATTTTCTTTAAAGCAAGAAGTTTGTTGCCTAAATATTAATCTGTTAAATCTATTCATTAGGGAGAAGATGGACTAATAGAAAATGATTGGAACTGATAATGCTGAAGTTTAAGGTCCAGTCCTAAGAGTGAATAGTTGCTAGCCAAAGCATCAGAACATTCAGGCTGTGATGTGATGGTCATTAATTTGATTTTGTTTCCTCTCAAATTGCAGCCACAGTGGACAACTCTCAGAAGGCTTACCAGGATGCATTTGAGATCAGCAAAAGGGAAATGCAGCCAACACACCCCATCAGGCTGGGACTAGCACTGAACTTCTCCGTGTTTTACTATGAAATCCTCAACACCCCAGAGCAGGCCTGCAGTTTGGCAAAGACGGTTAGACAATGATCTGTTCATCTACAACTTGTTTAAGTTGGACTTTTTCTGTGTTGGGTACACACAATGTACACTTTCCTCTTTCATCCCATCTTATTAATGCAACATTCAGTGAATATCTTCAAAAAGCGATTTGGAATGTGAAACTAAATGAGTTTATACTGAAAAATAGAGTGTGCAATTCCAGTGTACAGGAAGACAACAGAACTTACCCTCATGTTTGCTTTCACCTTAGGCTTTTGATGAGGCAATTGCTGAGCTGGACACCTTAAACGAGGACTCTTACAAAGACAGCACCCTGATCATGCAGTTACTAAGGGACAACCTCACTGTAAGTGCCAACTTTGGCTTTTATAGCTGTAGACAGACCCCAAAATTAATCTTTGCTTAAAATTAACAATGCAAAATTAATGTAGACTATTTAGATTACTCATCATTAAATCAAACTTTAAAAATGATAGTTTGAGCCATGCTAGTTTTGTCATTTACAAGTTATATTATTACCATAACAATTTGAGTTAGTCTTAATTCACCCTTTCACAAATTCAGGTCTTATCACAAGGTCTTAAATCACAGCAGGAAGTCTTAAATTCATGGCATTAAAGGTGGAAAATGAATATCTTACTCCGTATATTTGTTAGGCATTCCAAAACAAATATCCAACATTCTTTAATCAAGATGCATTTACTTGAGATTCAAATTGAAAATATGATGTCATGTTTTTTGAGAAATTACACAAAATTAAATGAGGTTTTGCTTAAAAGAACACATCTGTCAGTGTGGTATGATATTTGGCAGATATTTGTTGTTGTTGATAGCTCACTTAATTTTTTCATAAAACAAGACTTCTTGTCATCTTGATTTAAGAATCTTAGATATTTGCACTGGAAAACAAGACAAATATTGATGAGGAACACTTTTTTTTTGCGACGTGATCAGAAGGTACAGTATTCTAGTGGTTAGGAGAAGAAATATTCAAGATGAATTACAGAAATAGTGTAAAATGAATTACAAAGTAATGGAGATCTGTGGGAAGTTGAATTTGTCAACTTTTGATATCTTGAATCATATCTTTACCTTCATAAAACCTGCAGAAACCCTGTCTTAGTGGCAGTGTAGTTTTAATATGAATAATGCTAAATTTTGCCAATAAGAAATATTTAATATTACGCCATTGGTCAGTGTGGTATAAAGTTAATTTTGGACCCTTGGAAGCCTGATCATTGTATCATTTAAAAAAAAAAAATTTTCCCCTTTCGTTCTGCAGCTGTGGACATCAGAAAACCAGGGTGATGAGGCAGATGCTGGCGAGGGCGAGAACTAAAGGCGTTGCACTTCACTGTTAAATCCACCTACACTCTTTATCTTACACATATACAGCCCATAATTCCCTGCTCCATCCAATCCACCTCACCTTTATCCACCTTTCTGTATGACGAGCAGCATGAATTGTACCTGACCTACAAGGTTGTGCCCCTGAAACCACGAGCGGCAGGGAAAAGTTTGGTTTTTCCAAGGCTGACTTGTCTCAAACATGTCTGATTGTGTATTTTCCCCCAGACGAGGGAAAATGGTTGAATAGTGGAAACGATTTCCATCTTTTTTTTCCCTTCCGAAAATCCCTCCTTCCCATTTGTCTCTTCTCTCCAATAGTGTACTGGCGATTGCTGGTTTTATTCAAAAGGTTATTAAACTGTCCATTAATTTAACAAACACTGTGACGTTTAGTTTTTTCTTCTGGATAGCTTGTGCTTAATGGAAATCGGAATGGTTTCGTTACAAATAGCAGTACAATTCTGTTGCGATCTCATACAGAAGGGATGAAAACAGGCTGTATTGTGACACTGACTAACATGCATTACTATTATTGCTGTCATGTGCGTAATTTTGCATACACGGCTGACGACAAAAGGGACCCGAGATTTGCAATTCCATGTCTATTCAGTTTTAAGTTAAAGACATTCCATTAGTGTGATGATTACAGACCTTTCGTGAACAAACTGGAGAGTTTCCTAATGTGCTGTCAATGAGGCAGTCGACATAAAGGTGCTGTTTGACATCAGTAAACGATTTTCCTGGTTTGTTCTGTAAATTTTTTTTTTTCCCCCTTTTGCGTAATATTGCCCACACTTCCATTTAATAAAGATGTAAAATTGTAAACATTTTAGACGTAAATATAATTTGTCTTAAAACTAAATACTTGCAAAAACACTTTTTTTTATTTTTTATAAAGTTATTCAACCCTCTCACGAACAGAAGTCGATGCTTGATGTTTCCCTCTTCATGTAAATCAGAAGGAATTTTGGGGTCTTAAACTGACTTTGAACTTCTCTACTCTTCATTCCTGCTAAGAGAGGAATTTCTGTAAGACCTTAGCAGTTCAACTGAGAAATTCTGGATTTAACTTGAATTATGGTGCAGGAAAGTGCTGCAATTCAGTGGAGGCTTTGAGAAGTCTGGGCCCAATGTCTGAAACACAAGCCGAGACCTCAAACATTTTTATAGGGGTAGTCACTCACTCAGTGTCACAATACCTTGTCACATCACCATAACATTCCACTTAGGTGTAGAACTCATCTGTCTCGAGCTGAAGACAATGTTCATGCACTGAAGACGAAATCTCTCTCTCTCTCCCCTTAGCTGAACAAATGGCAGTTATTCTACGCTTGATTACAAAAAATACAGTAGTGAATGTGGAAGCCAGCCTGTCTGTATATCTGGTATCTCCAATTGCTTTGTTTTTACTGACCAGTATTCTGCCTAAAGTTAGCTTCTGTGACGGTTTCATTGCTTAGCGCGCACGTGGTTGTGAAAATTTAGACTAGCTTAAGGGAAAAAAAATAATTATAAAATGACAAAAAAAAATATACAACCTGGTTATTGACGTAATACTAGATTTGTGTATGTCTTTTAAAACAGTTCTAGTTTCACCTTACATGTTATAATCAGGAAAGTGTAAAAGACAATTTAAAGTGAAATAAAAGTTTTATCAGTTCCAAATTGCGCTGTATTGTGTTTTTGTAGAGGTGTACATTCAATTCAGAATACACAAGCAGCACGATCTTCTCACTGTCCTATAAAGATTTAAATGGTGTGTACATTTTTATGCCTATTTAAATAAGCATTTAAGGGAATGTTCCAGGTTCAATGCAAGTTAAAGGAATGGTTTACCAAATTTGTTGAAAGTGTACTCATCCTCAGGCCGTCCAAGATGTAGATGAGTTTGTTCATAGGAACAGATTTGGAGAAACGTAGCATTACATCACTCACTCACCAACGGATCCTCTGCAGTGAATGGGTGCCGTCAGAATGAGTTTAAACAGCTGATTAAAACATCACTGTAAACTACAAGTAATCCACACCACTCCAGTCCATCAGTTAACATCTTGTGAAGCAAAAAGCTGCGTGTTTGTAAGAAACAAATCCATCAAGGTGTTTTAAACCGTTGCTTCTGGTCAAAAAATTATTATAAGTCCTTCAAAACCTACTGACATTTGTTTAGACCTGTTTTGGACTTTTTGCTTGTTAACAGTGCTTGATCTGTGCATATTTCAATTATATTTTCAATTTCCCAAATCCGAGCAGCTGAGTCTTTAACCATCTTCAAGAAACGACTAAAAACACATCTGTTCCACCTTTATTTGACCCTCTAACACTTTCTATTCTATTTTAATTCTACTTTATATTTATCTTTTTGATTTTTAATTCGTTATTTAAAAAAACAACAAAAAACGAACACTAGCTTTCTATTTTTTCTATTCTATCTACTTGTTTTTCTATGTGTGTGTGTATAATATATATATGTGTATATATATGTGCGTGTATATATATATATATATACACCTTGCTACGTGTACTGCGTTAGGCTAACCGATACTTGTCATTTGCACTTATATATTGTTGCTCTTTTGTTAGTTTTGACTGCTTTTATTGTACTCATTTGTAAGTCGCTTTGGATAAAAGCGTCTGCTAAATGTAAATGTAAAATGTAAATATTTCTCCCGTTTCACTCAAGATGATGTTTTAATTGGAGAAAGCAATATTATGAATAGAAGATTCTAACCAGAAGTAATGGTTTGAGGTTAAAAATGTCTTGATGGATTTATTACAAGGACTCAGCTTTTGGCTTCATAAGACGTTAATTGATGGACTGGAGTGGTGTGAATTACTTGTGGATTATTGTGATGTTTTTATCAGCTGTTTGGACTCTCATTCTGACTCACAACAACTCTGTGACTGTTCTTGAATGGCCCAGCCAGAGCCCTGACTTAAACCCAATTGAGCATCTCTGGAGAGACCTAAAAATGGCTGTCCACCAACGTTTACCATCCAACCTGACAGAACTGGAGAGGATGTGCAAGGAGGAATGGCAGAGGATCCCCAAGTCCAGGTGTGAAAAACTTGTTGCATCTTTCCCAAAAGGGTCATGGCTGTATTAGATCAAAAGGGTGCTTCTACTCTAAATACTGAGCATGTGATATTTCAGTTTTTTTTTTTTAATAAATCTGCAAAAATGTCAACAATTCTGTGTTTTTCTGTCAATATGGGGTGCTGTGTGTACATTAATGAGGAAAAAAAATTAACTTAAATGATTTTAGCAAATGGCTGCAATATAACAAAGAGTGAAAAATTTAAGGGGGTCTGAATACTTTCCGTACCCACTGTATATGCAACTGCATTATTTGTAACTGAATTGGGCAAATGTCCAATGAAATTGTTTCTTTGTAATCAATATTTGCTGCTTTGGTGTACCTTGTAGAGCGTCCTTGAGCTTGGGAAATGCGCTATATAAATTAAACATATTATATTATTATCTTGGATGGCCTGATGGTGACAGAATTTTCATTTTTGGTTGAATTATTAAGTTCAGTCATCTGTGGCATTCTGTTGATTTTGTACAAAAAACATTTACAGTAATATTTGAAGTTGACTACTGTGATTAAAATTACTATATTAAATTTAAGGCATGTTTACAGTTCAGATAACTTTTTTACAAACTGAGGAACAATTTGAAATTGGTAATTGACCACGTATTTTTGCTTTCATTCACAGTTATACTACCTGTATACATAGCATTTACTGTTTTGCCTTTTTAGTATTGCTAATTGCTACAAAAAAGTCATCGCTGTTCATAGCATTACATCTGCCAGTTTACAGGATGAAAAAATACAATATTCCTGAACATTCTCCTTTATTATCAGATGCATAACAGCACATTACTTTAAATAAAATAAAGACCCGTTTACATTGTCTTGATGCAAAATGGCATATGAAACATCAATAAATACAGGTGCCAAGTCTTTACAAATGTATATAAAAATTAATTGGTTTTGACAGTAACTAACCCACAACAATACAACATCTTTGCCAAAAAATAAACACATTTAGTAGAAAACGCAGCCCGCATACTATCTGCCTTTCTGAGTTGTCAATCTAAAGTGAAGTAGGAATTACAGTTTTGTCTGAAAAAGAGCCATTCAGTTCAGTGTGCAATGAAAAAGACATTAAAATCACATGCTAAATCAACCTCACATATGATTCATTACTGATTACATGGACAAATGTAATTACCAGAACAAGTTTGATCTCAAGACACACAGGTGGAGTTTCAGAAAAGAAACATGATTACCTTATTAATGGCAATACACCCGGTCAATATGTCTATATGAACATCATCACTCAATATTTTTTCCTAGTTTTAAAATAACATTATGATGTGCATATCTAAAGTCTGTAGCAAACATTGCAGAGGCAAATCAATTCGAGGCACTTGGGGAAAGTTTCCTCATGTTCACTTTATAATCACGGTTATTTCATCTTCTGTACTTCCTGCAGTAGTTTCTGCGCCACCGCGTTGTTTGGCTCGAGTTTGAGCACACTGTTGAGATCTTCAATACAAGATTTCTTGTTCTAAGAGAAAGAAATGTATTACAATTTATAAAACAATCCACCAATTTTTATTAAAGAGGTCATGAACTGCCTTTTTTAAATTATTATTATTATTATTATTATTATTTGTACTGTTCTCTGAGGTCCACTTATAATGTTATCAAGATTTTTACATCAAAAAACATCTTTAGAAGTAATATGGCTATTTTCTGTCCTGTTTTTAACCCCCTTTAGTTTGAATGGACGTGGTGGATTGTAGACTCGGAAGTAAACGCCCACTGCTATGACTGGCTAACAGTTGTGAATGTTTGACAGCCTACACAGCCTTCATACAGATGGACGCTGCTGTGATTTAGGTTAAAAACGCATAAATACTCAGATCATATCAACTGATCTGTAATAACAGACAAAGCAATAGTGACCACATAATAAAAACAGTTACTCCCACTTGTGTGATGCAACATTACTGTCGGATCCAATGTATTCGCACAGCATTGTCTTTTAGTTTCAATCTTTCTGAAAATCCAGCATTGAATTGTGCCTTGTTTGCAAACGAATCCGTGATAAAATGTAGTGAACAATGGACTGAATTCTTACTGATGCAGTCTAGATCTTCATTAAAAATAAAGTTCATCCACTCTTTACTAATATTGAGATCAGAAGAAAGGCAATGCAAAGACCGATTTTTCCACAGGTTGGCACTGCACAGCTTTGTTTTCGGAGCATCTTTATCGTTTAGTTTCTGCATAGACCTGCGTTTGCCTCTCTCGTTTACACTACATGCGTGAATTGTGGGCGGGGCTAAACAGGCAGTGATGTAGAAGTAGGCGTTGATCTTCTGCGGAGGCGGGGTTTAGCCACACTATTGATGTCCTATTGGCATATTTGCTTCAATATAAGCTGTTTTCAGACTAACGAGAAAGTTTTGAGTTCTGAAACTTACCGGATGTTTTTATACTGCAATGACCTTTTATATGTCAAAAGATCAAGGGAATTTAGATTTCTCAGTTCATGACCCCTTTAACTAAGACAATGGTTCAGAAATAAACTTACCTTGAGTTCCTTGTTTGCCTGGGCACGTCGGTAAAAAGCCTTAATGTTGGCTGAATCCAATCGAAGAGCCTCATCACAGTCGCTAATAGCTTCTTTATACATCTTTAATGACAGGTAGCAGAGAGCCCTACAAGCAGTATTGATTTACACACATTATCAAACCTAAAGTCCATGACTTTTGCAGGTAAAAATTCAAAATCAGTTTTGAACTGAATAACCATAGGGACCCTGACATTTGGCAGCGTAATTACCGGTACTATTTCTTACCGATTTGTGTAGGTTGTGACTTCTTTGGGGTCCTGACCGAGTGACTGCGTGTACTTCTCCACGGCTTTCTTGTGTTCGCCTTTCTTCACAAACGCATTGCCTTCTTCCTTTAGAGCCTTGGCTTTTTTAGCAGCTTCAGGTCCTGGTGCTTAGAATAAAACAAGTGAAAATCAAGTGCATGATGGCTCCGCTCAGTACGGCACAGGGAAGTCGTGGCCTAATGGACTCGGACTCGTAACCCAAGGTTGCAAGTTCGAGTCTCGTACCGGCAGGGATTGTAGGTGGGGGGAGTGAATGTACAGCGCTCTCTCCCACCTTCAATACCACGACTGAGGTGCCCTTGAGCACTTTAAACACTTTCACTTTTCACTTTAAATACCTTTTTTCTTGTTGTCGATCACGCTGTTTTGTTGTGGGCTGGAGGCCGAGCTGGCGGCTTGTGCCAGGCTTTCTTTCACAGACATCGGAACGGTGGGAATCGGAGGCAGTTTCTCTCTCCAAGATGGTCCGTCTATATCTGTCAAAGCCTTGGTCATTCTGAAGGCAAGGAGAGATGTGTTATATGGTACATTTTTGTATCCTTATGCTCACAAATGAACATTTTATTCTTTGGGTTTGTATTATATTTTGTGTTTTACCTCATTATACAGTTGATCAGTGCATTCTCTATGAATGAACATGCATAATTTTGGATCCTGTTCATGCAGAATTACCTGTTGACGCCATCGTGAGCAGCCGGTATGTTCCAGTCTATCTGTAAAACAGTTTTGTAGTCCACATACGCCTGTCTGTATCTCTCCAAGGCTTCATAAGCTGATGCCCGGCGAAGCAGAGCTTTCAATCCAAACGGAACCAATTCAAGAGACCTGAAAGGTAAGTATTAAGATTATTAACACTGAACATAATCACTTTAACCATTTTTGCACCCGCTGTTTTTTGCTCTTACCTTGTGCAGTCTTTAATGCATTCACTGCAGTTTCCAACTTTCAGGTAACTGGCGGCCCTGTTGGAGTACAGAATGCCCAGATCTTCCTTGTTCTTCTGACCTGCGAACACAACAGTTAAAGATACAGTGATGTGTCTTTATTTACAATAGCACCACTGCTTCCTTTACATCTATTATAGTCTGAGGAACCATTTTAAAAATAGTTGCTCTGTAACATTCATATCTTCTGTAATATTCAATCATCTTTGGTATGACTGCCCTATTGTTACTCATTAAAAAACATATTAATATGGAATCTCCATGGTATTCTTAGCATATGACAGTACCATCAGATTCTATCACGGTTCTGTCAGTTAATAAAGGAGGAGATAATAAAGGATAATATGATCATAATCATGCAAGGGACCCCCCATCCTAAAATTTAAAAGGCAGTAATATATTTGTATTCATAAAACCCAATTTATACATGTAATTTTTGATTTGGAAAATATTTTCTATTATGTAATATGACATTTTTGCTACTCACTACAGTGTTGTACTATTAAATGTATAATTTCAACAACAACAAAAAATACAATTTTGTTATTAATATTTCTATGACTTTAATATGTGGTAGTTATATAGCTAAGCAGTCAGAATAGTTGTAAAATAATATTTGAAGATATTTTCTATGATGTAATACAACTTTTTTTCTACTCACTACACTATTACTAGTATTATTAGATGTATTATTTATTGTGCATGTATGGATGTACGTTTTTAAATTTTAAACTCTTTTTCTCTAAACTTTCCACTGACCCCATAGTACTCATTTGAAACCCCCTGAAACAGTACACACATGGTACTGAAATCTATTCAGCAAAACAATGGTACTGATATGGTATTACCAGAATACCATGGAACATTCCGTGTAAGAGATACGAAAACATGTAATTAGCTAAGTGGTAATACTGTAACGATGGTGTTTACCATGGTGATATTTGTAATGTGACTATATCTGACCGCGCTTACCAGACTTCTCCAGCAGCTGGATGGACTGGCTGTAGAGGTTCACAGCTTCTCCGTACTGACCGGCTCTGAAGCACTCGTTACCGGCTTGTTTGAGCTCCGTCCACGACTGCGAGCGCCGCTTCTGAGGCATGATGATACTGGAACGATCAAAGGCAGTGTGACCCTTAAGTGCTGTTAACTTAGTTTAGCAGTGTTACATCAATATTACAAACTGCCAGCAAAATTGTTGTGATAGGTATAAAGTTGCAATATAACAAAGCTACCGCGGTAGAATCGCCGTCTGAAGTTGAAAACCCGGAAAGTAAATGTTGAAGGAAGGGCTTTGGTGATCGCCCAGCTCCGCTTGTTTAAAGTTACCAGTTGTTGTACTGTGAACTAACGTTACATGCGATAACTAGTCAGTCCTCGTTCTAGAACAAGCTAGAAGATCCGCTTCTCCTCCCACTAACGTTACACACGCGCGAGCCGGGGTGAGCACCACGTTTTACCGGCTGAGGCTCTACAGAAACGGGCGGTGTTGAATTTCAGTTTCAATTCTCCGGACTGAAGCGGCTGTTGATCTCCGCTGCTGCTATTTGAAGATCAGGATGGGCGATTGTAACCCAATCCAGTGTTGCCAGGTCCAGCGAGAAAGGCAAGCAAACTGTACTGACAAGGTAACGAGTGAAGAGTCACGTAAAATGACAGGGATATGGCAACACCGACCCAGTCCCAAACGACTGTCGGCTTCCCTCTATGGAAAGCCAAGCTGTTGGTTGCCAGATGTTCCTGAAACCCGAATCATTCATTCTTTTAAAACGCATCAGTTGTCTTTTCGTTTCATTTTTCTTCTTGAATAATATGAACTGCAAGTGCAATTTATATAGATAATACAGTCAGTAAAATAATTTTTAATAAAAGTACAAGACTATAAAAAGGCAATATTATATCAGATTTTTTTAAATATCGATTTTACATAAAAAAAAGTTTTGTCTTTATTAAAGTTAACCACTGTAAAGTCTATTTTCAGTTTTATTATTATTAATACTACTATGAATTTAATACGTGGTTGCTATGTAGCAAATACGTTGAGATGTTTTATCAAATGTAATGCTTTGCTCTATGACGCATAATGTTTCCAGCAAATAAAAACATGAATTATCCTGTTTTTAAAAAATGTCCTGTTTGTTTCCTTTGTTATCACAATTCTGTCCCTGGTGGGGACCTGTTGGTCTGAATCGGCACCGCTGTATTTGCCCGTCGCCTGTTTCCGTAGTTGGGCCCCACATAAACGCCTTCCTTCAGTTCTTATCCGAGTAACCGGACGTGAGTGCTGAAGGTCGTGAATTAAACGGTAAATATCGAATATGAAATCTGTATAAACTATAATAATACCACTGTTATGTTTTTAACACTATATATAAGAGTTTTGATTTATTTTAGCTAAACGTGCCTCGTTTTTGAAGTAACGTTACGTCTTGCCGTCATTGCTAGCTAACATAGTGTTAGCTAGACAGGTAGTTCTGTATAGACACAATAAATACCTATTTATTTATTTTGTCTATGTAGTTATGTGTCTCAAAAGGCACTCACCTGCTGACATGAAGCTGATTTGTATCTGAAATGTCATATTTAAAATAAAATAAAAGCTCTGATTTGCGTTTGCACGCGCTTTTATCACGTCTACAGAAATAATATGTAAATTGCACATTAGCTAAAGCGCTAAAATCTAGACCTGAACAGAAGAACACGTGTATATATAGCAAACATGGAGATTCATATATCTGAATGTTAGTAGATAATGCAATTGTGGCTCTTCGTTTGGTTGTCTTGAAAGTCAGACAGACGTCCATTTATTTGTGATGGTCAGAAAAGCACGTAGCAGTACTAAATCAGTGTATGATGAAGCTTCTTTTATTAATGCCCATTATTTTCTTCTCTTTCTAGAAGTCAACAATGTCACTTGCAAAGCCAGCAATGAGAGGCCTTCTTGCCAAGCGTCTGCGGTTCCATTTGCCCATCGCATTCGGTCTTTCCCTGGTGGCAGCAGCCGCCTTCAAGGTCAGTGAAAATGGGCTGATAACTCAGATTATGCTATTTTGTTATGATTATGTGCACTATAGTTGACCTTTGTGGTATTCATGGCTGTTCAAAGTTATGATTGGTACTTCATCTCTTCCTCCGGTCAAAAGGTTTCTTTAAGTTAATTAAAAAATATATATTTTTTAAAGAAACCTTTTTTAAGAGCACTTTTTGTCATGATGTAACCTCAATAGTCATTCAGATTAGTTTTCATTAGATGATCCTTAATTTGTAGTCTTGGATATTTGGTTGCTTTAAATTTTTTCATCTTGGGGCAAAGGAGTTAAATGATTTTTTGCAAACTACCAAGGACAGTTTTCCTTGAATTTGAGAAACCGTTTTTGTGTCTTTCTGCAGTTCACAGTAACAGAGCCCAGGAAACAGGCTTATGCTGACTTCTACAAACATTACGATTCAACGAAGGAGTTCAGTGCCATGAGGGAAGCTGGTGTTTTTGAAAGCGTCAGACCCACTGGAAAATAAACCACTGTCTTGTGAGTGGCCCTTCAATTGCATATATTATTTTTATTTGTAATACTTTTCATGCAATAATAAAATTCATAATAATATATGCATCACTTTGCAGCTCTTAATACATCATTTCAGTACACATAATAATAATAATAAATATTAACCAGCTCTGGCTAAAATACAAGCTTTGAATGGTCCAAAAATGAGAGTTGTTCATGTAACGTTCACCTAAAAATACTAGAGTTTTGTCCCTGACTATAATGAAAAAATATGCCATTTTTGGGCTGTTTGGCTTTCATAACATATTCTTTCTGAAGTGTGCAGAAAACATTCAAAATACACATTAAAGTGTTTTTGTTTTTTTACACATTATCTATTTGCATTTGTAGATTTAAATTTCATTACATATCTGCAAAGGCCATTTTCTCAATGTCCAAGTCTCCACTTCAGCAGCACCTATTAACTCCATACTTTATAGTTTTATTCCCATCTATATTCTGAAGGTTTTACAGACTGGTTTGTTCATAGATCATTCACCAGATTTATAACATTTTATTTGTTAAAAATTGGAGAATTGTTTTTTGTTTGACGACAGTATTTTCTGATTTATGGGATGATAAAACCTTTATCACTCAGTAAAAACCGTTAGCTCTAATCCAGTGGTCTTCACTATTTTTTTAATGGGAGCCGCACTGATAGGGCAAAGTCAATCGGAGAGCCACTTTTACCGCGAAGTATCAATTTGAACGTAGTGTCGGTACAGTTCGTCATAAATAGAACGAGGCATCAGTTTACTGATGGGGATCGTGTCGCATCGCATGGCTCCGCGCCGCATCCAGTGTAGACAACATCAGTTTTTTTAATGGGTTATGTTATAGCCCTGCTTGTTTTTTTAATGTTTTTATGAAATATCTGTATTGACTGCATGGTCATATCATCGTATTATTTCCTCCAGGGGGAGCCACAAAGTAAAGCTTGGCGAGCCACATGAGGCTCGCGAGCCGCGCAATGAGTAACACTGCTCTAATCTGTCAACAAAATGAAATGAGAATTTTGACCCTGGCTTTATCCAAAGTTCAGATTTCTGTTCAGGAAATGTGCAAATTAGTGCACACATGATGAGATGATGCATTATTTGCGTGTTTAAACAACATTTCAGAAAACTTGCTATGCAAAAATTGTTAATGTGCAGTAATTGATCAACTGGTGAAAGTGTGCTTTATAGTTTTATTCCCATCTATATTCTGAAGGTTTTACAGACTGGTTTGTTCATAGATCATTCACCAGATTTATAACATTTTATTTGTTAAAAATTGGAGAATTGTTTTTTGTTTGACGACAGTATTTTCTGATTTATGGGATAAAACCTTTATCACTCAGTAAAAACCGTTAAATTGTCTAAGCATTAATGGTAGGGAAAGCCCCTTATACTGGAGCGCGGCTACTTATGAAGTGTTTCTTGGAGGTTATAGTACATTGAAGAATGATCGTATGACTTTTTACATACGCCATGTGACCTGTAAATGATGCCTCTCGAGATAAGTCTTTTGGTGGGATTTTGGCTATATTTATTCAAAGGAGGCTTATGCGATATCTTTACAGAAGCAGCAAAAAGAGCCGTTTCAGAAACGTGCGTGGCACGGCTGGAATAAACCATAGACTGTATAAAAACATAAACACAAGCATTGCGTGGCCGCAATCAGCTTCAGTGGCCGTATCAGAGCCACACGTCACCGCAGACGTGTGCAGTGTAAATTGTCTAAGCATTAATGGTAGGGAAAGCCCCTTA